ATCAGATTCTGCATATCGATCTCACATCATGTCGACCATATAATCCCTGCTAGACAATGTAGAACTTGTTTTCCCTTCTCGTCCGATTTGAAACCGGGCTGAAGTTCGAGGGGAACGCGTGGGCAGGTCTAGCACTGCCACCTCTTTTTGGATCCGCCCTGCAGGGTGCAGGCACGGTGGTCTTTTTTAATGTGCTTATATGCTTTTGTGCTTTTCCGACTGGGGTTGAGACAAGATCGACCGTACCTGTCAAACGGGGGATGATCTAGATTAGACAAAGCTATTCTTCTGCCTTTTTTTTTTTTTCCCAAGGAAAATGCGGTTGCAGCGGACACGAGATAATCGGAGATCGGTGAACAGGCCTCTGGAAGCAGATCTTGGGAAAAGGGGAAGAGTATCCACTTGAAGTTCAGAGCGAACGATAAATTGAGAAAAAAAAAAAAAGGAAAAATGAAACAAAAACAAGGCATCCAGTGATCGATGAATCCATTCTACCGGATATCTTTTTAGGTTCTCAGTTTCTGCACCATTCAAATAGTTCGATGACACGCAGGAGTTCGGGAATCCAAGTGCATGGGCTAACAACCTGCCTAGACGGGAAGGACTTTGAGATTGCCAATAGAAAACGACAAAACATAAACATACAAAATATACAAAATAAAAAATAATCTTCCAAATTCTCTCTATTCTAGCCCCCAATTCAACCAGTCAAAACCACTGGATCTATCAGACCGCAATTGTCTTTTCATCATGCCCGCTGATTCGCTCAAAGAAAAAAAAAAAGAAAATACAAAGCGGGTACTCTGCTGCAAAAGACTGACAGCTCCCGTTCAAGCTCTGTCGGAAGCGACCCTCGGGACTTGTGCATAACAGTAAAAGATCTATCTACTTACCACAAAGTACAGACTATCCGGATCAGGATCCGGAGATCGTGAAACATTTCCGACAATGTAACGCCTGATGATCAACAAATACTAGTCAATGCCAAGAACGCGCTTCAGCTGAGCTCTCTATTTTCAAGTTTTTTTATTTATTTCCCTCCACTTGCTACACTAAACCGATCTCCGCTGCTTATTTGAGGGATTGCCACGCGGAATCTTTATCCCGGGCAAGCTTGAAAAGTTGGGAACAGAGCTATCCACATGCATCTCACATCATGAGGGCTAAGGGAAACCGGACCCCTTTCCGCTTGGTCCGATCGTGGAGCATCAAATCCAAGCTTGTGATAGAGAGAGTTGTCACCTGATTACTTGGCTATTGACTTGTTTATCTGCCTTTTGTTTTTTACGTAGTACTCGAATGAACATCGCAATGTGTTGGTCACACGAACTGAGCTGGGTTGAAGCGACTTTTTAAGTTGATTTTAGGTCCAACACCTTGAATGACGTCAAATCAAGTATATCAAAGTGTCAAAGCCCCTTTAGCCGAGGAAGTTACCCCTAACGGTCAACGGTAACGGGCCCCCTTTTTGCCGGGATGATGCACAACATATCCAATAAACTTTGTAGCCTTTCTACCTTTTCTTTTCTTAACATCCTATTTCAAGGCTAATATACTTTTAGTTTCTCCAAACTCTCGGAAATTGACACAGGAGGCGTGAAGGATTGCCTCACTATACCCGAGTGGGTATAGATCAGTATAGTTCGGCGTCTCATTTCAGCCATGCGTCATTAGGAACTTTCTGAATTTTCCCTCTACCCACACTCACCTTCCAAGCTTGACTCTTTACGGGAAAAAACAAATAGTAACGGCAAAAAAAAAAAAGTATAAAAAAAAAACAAAGCCAGACTCCACCTGTCCCTGTCCATGTCCACGGTGACGGCGCACACTTGCAGCTCCCGATAATTTGTGCTGTGCATGACGATCGCTTTCCCCGGGTACTTTGTGGTATAGGTCTGGTATAATATAGGGGGTGATATCAGTCATGTACATATTGGCCATATTGACCATACTCTATTGACCATATTGGACATATTGGATATATTCTATATCTACTTCTATTTCTGTGATTTCTTTTCTTTTTTTCCCCTTTCTATTTTACTAAATAAAAAAACAAAACAAAAAAACAAAAAAAAAAAACTTAAACCAAAAAAAAAGAAAAAAAAAAAAAAGAAGCCCAATACTCCGGGGGTAGACTAGGGTGGTCTCCATAGGAGATCCTGCCCAACTATCCGCCAGACTGGGTCGGACAGAGAGACAACTAAGTTGTCTTGGAGCCATCCAGACCAGGTGATGGATCATTCTCTCACCGCTGCTATTCAATTCTTAAGCTTGTCGCCCCCATTTTCTTTCTGACTCGACTTTCTCTTAGCTCTCTTACGGCCCTCGGATCTCTTCTGTTTCTTAGCTTTCCTAGCTTTTCTAGCTTCCTTAGCTTATATTATCTTTCCTCGATCCTCAATTGAGAATCGAGTTTCTTGTTTTATATATCTCCTATTCATCGTGGCTGCCTTAGGTATTAGTGTGTTGAACGCACCATATTCAGGCTCACATTCATCCAATTTGTCACTTTACTCAGATCGGTATCCATCACCTGCACCCTCCCTCACTCCTCGAGAACACAGCGACGAGGAGAGAGGGGGGTTTCGGTCATGCCCTAACTCCCGCTTCGTCGTGGGAGATTTGGTTTCTATGTCGCAGGATTCTCGACGTGCAGGTTCATTGTCCAGAGATGTGACGCAAACAGATGACCGTGCAAGTGACAATGACCGTGCATCTACAAGCAACCGAAATCCTGCCCGCCGGCCACCGCAACGACCTCGACCCCAGTCATGGCATCCATATGGACCCGTGGAACCACCATTGGAATCCATGTCATCGCGACCCATTGGTGTTCATGCCATCTTGAATCACCCACAGGCGGCTGATCTGACTGCACTCAGTCGTGAGCCGCTGAGCCTACCGGGTCCATCTTCCCCACCTCGCCCCCAAGGGACTTCCCCGATCCGCTCAGGATACCCAGTGGTGTCGCAGCCATTATCTCCTAGGTCTCATTCACGGCCTTTGATGAATCCGGCATCGCCATCGGCACGGTTTGTTGGCGGGGGCGGCAGGGCTTCTGGTCAGTCAAGCGTGGCACAGTCACCGCTAGTTCCTCACGAGACTTTGATGGGTCCACGCCTACCCGTCACCAGTTCGCCTCTGCCTATAGAGACGGGTCTACGCCCAATAGCATCTCTCACTGGCACTCAGCCTCTGACTTCGCTGCATTCTCGGCGAACCAGTGCAGGCCCGGGGCCTCTCACCAACCCGAACTCCCAAGAAACAAGTCCCAGCACGCCTCACTCAACTTTCAGTCCCTTTAGCCGGGTATCCCCAGCCGTGACCAGTGTCTCCCTCCCACAAAGCACGGCATCATATCCCACTGCGCCTCCATATATGACAATGGACCCTCTGACCCGACCCATCCCCGCAACAAAAGGCCCCAGTCGCCAACCTGAACAAGCCCCCTCCCGAGCTGGAACACCACAGGCCAGCCCCCTCCCACTGGGCATGATACCGTGCGTACTAGACATGCGATCTGGCTCCTCCAGCCAAGCTGAAAAGCGCAAAGCCAACAGCGACGCATCACGTCGGTTCCGAAATCGGAAGCGCAACGAAATGCAACTCGAGCAGCGTCTCGCCGCACAACAGGACGAGATCCAGCGCGGCGTAGAAACGGTCCGCCGCCAGAGCGAGGAGCTCCGCTCTCTTATCCAACAACGAGACCACTACCGCTCCGAGCGAGATTTCTACCGCGACCATCTCGGCCGCACAATGTCCCTAAGCGCCTTACCCCCAAGACCTTCTTCTCCATGCTCCACCCAACCAACCCTCCTCCCCGCATCGGAACCGGGCACCACGACGTGGTCGGGCGCCGATGCTGCCCGATCCGCTTCAGGCACACAGCCGACTTCGGCGGGTCCTCAACAGGGAAGAATGCCTGACGCAGTTCAGTCTCAATCCGGTTGGCCTGCAAGTCCTCCGTATTCTTCGGCACCCATTGCACCCGCCGGACGGGCGGTTGCTGGCCCGCCTTCCGGGTCACCGTCCGTTATTGGAGGCTCGCTGCCTCCACTGCAAGCACAGTGGTCACGTTCTTGATGCGTGTTTTTCGGGATCAACAGCAAACTATCATTTCGTTCCCTCTTGTCATTTCCTTTCTCTCCCTTACACTCTTAATCTCCCCCCCTCTCTCTCTTGTGTATGCTACTGCTACCAGAGACAAACAAGCGGTCACTGGCATGACTGCTCGCAGTTAGTCTATACTCCTTTAGTGATGTGGCTCAAAAAGTGCCTCTTCCTTTAGGCTGGGCGTGTATAACTATCGATCTGCATTTCTTCCTGGCCTCAAAAGACTCGGGTTCTGCAAAAGTGAAATCTATACTTTTCTCTCCTCGCTGTCATTATATTAGCCTTACTTCGTCACATCCTGTCTCTCGTTGATTTTCTCGCTCTCTTTGTGTATGGATTACACAGCGATTATACCTCCATCGGCGATGTATTGAGTCAGCATTCTTGTTTTAAATTGGAAAATATAAGATATATTTTTGAACAGAAATTCAATGCCCAATATAGTTTTCAGCTAATTCTCGTAATTCCTGCCTAAACGCCTGAATATCATGCGAACCAATCGACGAAGCTGTATAACGACCAAAAAGCTTAGCCTGCAATGTAACTCTAAGACATACACTGTTTAGAAGTGATTGGTTAACCTGTGATAGACCCAGCGATGCAAGGCAAGGTGTCACAGAATTCACATGACATCATAAATATCTCTATGCTGTCCAAAAGGTGGCATTAGCACTTTTCGGTCTTTGGCTTAACACCGGCCGAATTCCCGACGGCGATAGAAGGCTTATGTCCGACTAGGGATGTCAGATCGACTTTAAATAGAGAGCAGCTGAGGAAAATACAATATGCTAAAGGCTGTGATACAGTAAAATAGGAATACCCGTGACTCGGCTCAATCTCATCTCTTCACCAGCTCTTTCTCCACAAACCAACGAAGCAACTACGACATGTCTCAACAAACCATCGTTCTCATCACAGGTAGGCCACCGACTAAAAGCCAAACCCGTCCCAGAAACTAACTCTATCCAGGCGCCAATTCAGGAGTGGGCTACGCAACCGCCCAAACTCTAGCCACACACCCAAACCACCATGTGATAATGGCCTGCCGTGACCTCCAAAAGGGCCAACAAGCCCTATCCGAACTCCAAAGCAAAGATCTCAAGGGAACACTCTCCCTCCTCCAGCTAAACGTGGAAGACGACACCTCCATAACCCAAGCGGTGAACACTGTAAACGAACAATTCAATCGACTCGATATCCTAGTCAACAACGCCGGCTCAGCAGCACCCAGCAGCACCGGCCGCGCGAAACTGAACCTGATCTATTCGACGAACGTGATTGGCGCAACAATGGTCTCCGAGGCTTTCACCCCCCTCCTCCTCAAATCAGAAAGGCCCTATCTGATCCAGATCTCCAGTGGTCTAGGCTCGATGGGTCTGGCGACGGATCCCAGTAGTGAAACTTATTCTGCGCCTTGGGATGACTACCGCGCGAGCAAGGCGGCGCTGAATATGATAACTGTTCAGATGCATAAGCGGTTGCAGAGTCATGGAGTGCGAGTTTTTGCGTTCTGTCCTGGTCTTGTGAGGTCGAATTTGAGGGGCGAGGGTGAGGCTGCTGTTAGTGCGGGTGGGATGGCTGGGGATCCGTTGGAGTCTGCTAGGGGAATTTTGGGGATTGTGCTTGGGGAGAGGGACGAGGAAGCTGGTGGATTTATTAATAAGGATGGTCGGTTGCCTTGGTAGATGGGATAGTTATAGTATATGGTGGATTGGACATATTATGTTGAAAAGCTTATACATATCTTTGAACTTTTGAAATATTTAAGAGTCGTTTCTGCAGAAGATCAAATTGCTAGAACAATGTGATTGGCTCCGGAAGTTCCGGTGGAAGTTCCCGAATGGTCACCTTGTCCGGTGGAAGATGATCGTCCACTCACCGCAATTTCTAAGCAGCTTAAGAGGTCTAGACTGGAAAATTGGGACTAGGAACAGCCAATTGTCACCAATTGTCACCGAAGAGTTCCTCGGATCCTCAAAAATGCGGGGCCCCGACTTTGCCCACGGATGACGCGGATCTTTCTCGTGTCCCCTTCATATTAAGGGCAATCCTCCAAGCACATACAAGTTGGGTTGCACCTGAAAGGAACACCGAATTAACTCATCGACTATCAAAGTGTGTCAACAACAGTTAAAGAGCCAGTACGAAACCAATCTCGGTTCACCTGTTGCAGTCAATCGAGTTCTCACACCGGCACCCCCAAGAATCAAGGTAATTACCCCAAGTTCCGAGAGAGAAACCACCTATAGATGTTGCCCTAGCGCTAATCCCTTTAGCAGCAGACCAGGGAACCGGAGTCCGTGCCAATGGATCTACCGCCTTCTCTTAGTGGACTTCTCGAGGCCTTTTCCAATGCCGAGGATGTAGATCGGTTGGAAAGAGGCGGGGATGATCTAGGTAAGGCACATGTGCCAAGCATATTACCCCAATCTCTGCATCGTCACTGACATCGTCAGGTCCTTTTGGGCAGTTCGTCGCATCAGGGAGTAAGCCGATATCTGACCAACCACATATGACCTTGACGCGCAATGTACCCCAGACATATCCCTTAGACAGTTATCTGATGACGATAAATGAGTTGCTTTCGCCGCAGACGCAGGATCTTATTCTAGGGGAGCACAATCAGCCATTCGAACTGCAGCGATCTTTTCAAGCTCAGCTTCCGAATATCTCGGAAGAAAGTAAAGAATATCTACATCTGAAGGGGGCTCTCAGAATAGTGACCCTTGAACTGCGGAATCAGTTGCTCGGGGCTTATATCAAATATGTTCATCCTCTTCTGCCTGTCATTGACCTGCAATGGTTTTTATTCAATGTCATGGTCGAGGATGAATCCCAATTTCCAAGTCCGCTTCTTCATCAAGCTGTCATGTTGGCTGGAAGTGCATTTATCGAGCAGGAAACTGCCGTTAGAGCCGGGTTCTCGTCACGAAAAGCATTGCGAAGAACATTATTTGGGCGTACCAAGGTGAGATATCTGGAGACAGGATCCATGGCCATGTCGAGACTAATTTTGATCCTGTCGTCAGCTTCTTTATGAATTTGAGACCGAGCCCAACGCATACGTCCAGATTCAAGCATTGTTACTCATGATGCAGTGGCATGGAAATGGGGGCGGCCCCAAAAACCCAACATACTGGTTCGATCTCGCCTACTCGACAGCAGAGCGCGTCGGTCTCCTTGGGAGTTTAGAAACGGGTAGTTTTTCTCACAAGCACAGACTTTGGTGGTGTCTCTATGTGCGCGACCGCATTCTCTCCCTCGGCTTCCGTCGCCCACTGCGAATTCCAAACAGCGATATCACAATGTCGCTCCTGGAGGCTACGAAATACTATTCCTCCGAGCTATACCATGAACTCGTGCTGGTTATGCTGGGAGAAGCATCATCCATGCTCAACTGGGAGAACCAAGAACGAATGATGCTTCTGTTCATTCAGGAGATTAAGCTTGCTCATTGTGTGGGAGTCATCATCAATCTTCTTTACCAAGATGCTTGGTCGCCATCGCCATCGGGGGACTATGAATACTCCATGGTACCCAAGTCAAATATATCACAGGCTGCCATAACGGGATGCGAACAGCTTCTAAAGACCTGGATTCAGAACCTTCCTGCTCCGGCACATTACTACTCTCCGTCACTCTTACACCATTGCCATACAGAGTCTCCGGAGAATGTTCTCCTCGTTCACCAGGCTTTCCTATATCTCCTCCATCTCACTGCGATGTCTATACTCTACCAAGCTGCATCGAATGGAGGAGACAGTCTCGAGACCACCATTAACTCAGAAATGAGAGGCTTGACTTTGCAAGTCAATGAGACTCTCAATGAGCTGCATGACTCCAGGATGCTTCATTTTCTCCCTGGAAGCACTATTACTATATTGATTATTATTCTCGAGGCAAGCCTTTCTGATCTGAAGGTTTCGGATGATATTGTGAGGATGCAGGCCATGTCGAACTTGTATGCTTGCGAGGAGGCGGCTGGATATTTACTACAAACATATCCCGCGGCTGAGATTGTTCTTTCACAGGCACAAAACGCTCGTGGGCATCTCCTGGGTTTGATCGCAACTTGATAGAATTAAAAAAGCATTTATTTTAGCGTATACAGAATGAAACATGAAACCAATCAAAATATTTCTACATGTATGCTTAGGGCGAAATCTAAATTCGGTTCCCGGGTATTCCAAATTGCGGGGACCCCAGTTGTGGGTGACACCCGTGGACAGACCTTGCGTTCGATTTTACACGGGATTGGCAGCACTACCTTGCTATACTCATGGAACAAGAGACTGATCTGTTGCAAAATTCACCCCGCACATCGCGAGCATGTGACAGGTGTCGCCGTCAGAAGCTCAAGGTAGATATCCCTTCGCGACCCTGATTGCGAAATATGGTTCTGACAGCGTATAGTGTGACAACTCACGTCCTTGCGTGCTCTGTACTCGCGCTGGATATAAATGCGAAACATCCCAGCACACAGCGAAACGGACTCGCAGACCAAATTCAGGGGGCAGAGATCTGCATGTGCATTCTAGAATACACAAAACAATCGCACCAGCAACACACAAGAATCACATCTCTCCCCATGGCGCCAGAGGAGTCGAGATACCGTATACCAGAGAAACTTCAACATCCTATCCAGAGCGCTCTCAAAAACAACCGCAGTCTGGTGCCAATGCATCCGCGATTGACTTCGCTAGACGAGTCTTCAATGAGGAAGAAGCTGGTCGGACTCTGACCGGTGCATCAATCCCTGGTGATACGGGAGATCCGACCTTGGATAATTCATTATGGCATTTAACAGAAGTAGAGCTTCCACCAGAAGCCGTGATGTTAGCATTAATTGACGCCTATTTCGACCGAATGCAATGGTTCATCTTGATGCTCCACGAGCCTTCATTCCGGCAGACTGCACGCAGGATAATTTCTCAGACCTCATGGAGCCGCCAAGATCTCAGTCCTACCATGCTTATCTTGGCAGTGACTATGATTGGGCTTCATTCTGTGCTACCAGATCAGAGATGGCCTGGACACGCATTGTTGCGAGAACATTCCGTTGACGGGGAGAAGTTGATGCACGGTTTGACCAATGAGATACGACGGAATCTGCTCGATATCTCCATCGACTGTCAAATTGAAGCTGTCCAGGTTTGCTTCTTGGTGTCCTCCTATTATGTCTATCATAGTTCGCCCAGCATTGCGTGGACTGTCTCTGGTATGGCTGTGAGGTCTGCCTATGCCCTTCACCTTTATACAAAATCCGCCCAGTATGAGAACCCAGTTGTGGATGAGATTCGCTCGCGCTGTTGGAATCATGCTATTGTCGGTGACACGTTCACGTCTATCGTCTATGGGCGACCTTCCTCTATTGATACTGGACTTGTCGCTTTGCATTCGCTCAGAGACATGGATGACCTGGCCATTGATCCACTTCTACTGAAAAATGAATGGATATCTGGTGACGGAATGCCGACAACGACAGCTGGCTTTTTTGCTATGAAATCCGAAATCTATAACATCATTCGACACATCCTTTCGCGGTTTCGTCGTCTCCAATTAAGAAAAGAGACGATAGAAGAGGACCTCCTGGTAATTGCAGAAGCCGCACAAGACTCGGAGGAACAATTAGTCTCCTGGCGCAAACGGATTCCCCGGTTGTTCGATTTCGAGTTTTGGAGCTGCGACAATCGCCTAGAGCAGTTCCAACAGCAGATCGAAGGGTTACCGCGGCGCGCAAAATATCAAGCAGAAACGATCATCTTGCAGGCGGCTACCCTCCAATTGACATACGATGGAGCTCTGATACAAGCCCGTCGCCCTTTACTTGAGCAGAAAATCACCTGTTCTTGCTCACGGTTGGTGGTAGACGCAATCCACGAGTCATTGAGAGTGGCCACTGCAGCTGCACTGCGAATATCTCGCATTCCGGTCCTTCGTTTCAAGCATCATTTCGCTGAATCTTTCGCTTCTTTACAGCAATTTACTGCAGGCGTCATCCTTTGCATCCTACCGACCAGTCAACCTTTTACTACAGCGGCACACGAGGCCAAGACTGGAATCATGCGTATTATCCATGCCAGCGCAGCCTTTGGGCCCCACAATCGTATCGCCAAGCAGACTGCACAGCTTCTGACGGAGTTGCTGAAAGTAACTATCGAGCGAGAGATGTCCGGTGCCTTGAGAGGGGGACTGGAAACAAATTTTCCCAGGGATATGTCTGAGAAGGGTGCCATTCAGGGTGTACAACAGTCCCGGATCGACCCTGCTGGGAGCCATTCGCCGTCCTCGCGAGATGCCTTCTGTGATCGTCCTCCAATATCAGCAATCCACGCACCACAGCCTCCAGACACGCCCCAGTCAATACAAGACCATGGTAGGGTAAGCGACAGGCTAGTCCAAGAACCCGTCGAACCGTCTGAATACCCCTCGGCGAATATCTTCGAACAACTTGACGATACATTTGGTGCCTTTGGTGAGCGTGAGTGGAGCCGACGTTCGAGCTCATGATCAGAGATTCTAACTAACATGTTGATAGTTATGTTCAACCTGATACCTGATGACCAAAGTAGTGCTTGGAATTGGGGGCGTACGGTCCCATAGTGGAGAATCAGAGCTGTATGAACGGACGGACTCGATCTAATCGCAGGTCTACATAATTGAGGGCTAGGAATGAAAGGAGAAGGTGAAAATGAGCCAGGGGAAGAGTGTTTCACAGTCTCTAGGATATGCTATATCAAAAGAAAGCTACTCTACATCAAACAGGCTCTGGGTGGTAGCAATTTTGATCACTGACCGTGTGATAGTCTGATTACATGATGTCACTCAAGAAAAAGATTGACTGGTATAGTTTTGTCGACATCAGCTGTAAAGTGACAAATCCATCAGATCTCCAAGTGCAATCGGTTTGTACTTGTGTTTGCTGCCTGTTTGGTGGAAACGTCGGCGTTTGCCCACCTGGACAACTGCTGCCTAAGTGTTTTGCCTCAGACAGACCTCTCTTTGCCTCGATTCTGCCCGATTCTGCCCGATTCTGTATCTCCATAGAATGTCTCCCCGTTTACCAAGTCTACTAATCGCACGATAATTTTTTCTACAAGTAGGTGTGTCCGTATCACAGTCACAGATGCATGGGTGCCTGAGGCTACAGAAAATATTCATGTTCTTAGCCTGCTGCCTCCACCTACACATCTACGAGTCTATACGAGTGAAGATACGACCTATGCCCCAGGATCTAGCAATTTACAAGGTAGGAAGAAACATAAGGACATGAACTTCACATTACACAATCATAGCTGAGAGGGATGCGGGAAATATAGCACACAAGAAGAAAAACATGGTATGAGAGGCAGAAACTCAGCCGAAAGACAGAATTCAAAAGGCCCATATCAAGATATTGATAAAAAAAAATTAAGCCTTATGAAAACAACAAGATATTATTTCCGGCTTACAGTAGAAAGAAAATGCCGTCAATGCGCGATCCCATTTTAAGAGAATGCGCTTAGAGGGCGAAAGCAGCGACAACACCGGCCATGACGGCACCGACGCTGATGGCGTTGCGACCAGCGCCGTTGAAGGCGGGGGACGAAGCTGAAGGAGTAGCGGAAGCGGTGCTGGTAGGAGCGACGCTGGTGGTGAGAGGGATGGAGGTCCAGGGGCGGCTGGAGGGAGGAGCGACGGGGGAGACACCGGTCTTGGTGGACTTGGGGGCGGAGGTGGTGGTGGCAGTAGCAGTCTCGGTCTCAGGGCAGATGGTGGTGGTGATCACGGTGCTCTCCACGACGGTGGACGAGGCGGAAGTGGTAACCTCAGGGACGGAGGTCTCGGTCTCGGTGGGCTTGGTGGCCTTGGAGGTGGAGCCGGACTCGGAGCCAGGAGCGGCGGAGATACCGAACTGGGTGGAGTACTGGTACTGGCCGGTACCCTCGACAACGAGGAGAAGACCGTAGTGGGTGACGTCGGCCTCAAGGTCGGAGCCAGGGGTCCACTTGAACTCTCCGCTGTTGGGGATGGACTCGGCGAGAGTCTTGAGGGGGAGGACGTTGGTGGTGGGACCGCGCAGGAGGACCAGAGAGACGGGGCCGTCGGTGGAAGGAGTCCACTTGATGGTGTAGGTCTTGCCCTCGGGGACGATCTCGTTCAGACCAGGAGAGGTGATAGCATTGCCGGAGGGGTCCTTGGTGTAGTCAGGAGTGGTGGCGGCAGCAGTCAGAGCCACGAGGGCGGAGAAAACGGTAGCGATGGAGAAACGCATGTTGATTGAATGTCGAGATTGACAACGAATGACTGTGGTGGGAAATAAAGAATGGCTATCGTTGAAAAACGAAAAAAAAAAAGGAACGTAAAGAGTAGACTGAAAAGAGAGGAATAATAAAGGAAGAAGGGCGAGGCAAAGTACTACTTCAAGGATGTGTACCTCCAAGGTGGGTCCTACACTAAACTAAACCAACCGATCAACGCGCAGGCCAACCATATCCCATCCACCTCATTTCCCTCGGTTACTTTTGACTTTTTTGATTTAAGCTAAATGGGGCTTTGACTTGATCCCTGTAATACTTACACGTAACGAGCCCTCTAGACGAATTATACCCATCACACCCTCAGCCATAAGCTGTATACGGACAAGTAGATGTGACAGTTGCATGCAATTCTGATCTTGCCCTCGTGGGGCATGCGGGTCGGCTGTGGCTCAGACGTTATTGTAATACACCGCCAGGCTGTGCGTTACAGGTCAAGTAATAATCATAATGGACAGGCACCGATTTTGATTGGTGGGTGCTCCGGACGTTAATTTTAATCCTAATACTGGTTGACCCTTTAATGTAGAGAGATGCCCCAAGTAAGATTAAAATGCCACTTTATGGGGCCAAGGGAGAAAATAATTACGGAAATAAAATGGAATGCAGACTCAATGGCCTAGAAGCGAAACTTGGATGTTTTCCAAGGTTGTTTACCTTAAGCCTTGTAAGATTTTCCCCTACCGTGGACCCCGTGGATTCCTTGGCCCCAGAAGCTAATTCGATGATTACCCATGGTAGCCTGCGGAGGCTCTAATATCTTCAGTTACTCGGTTATTGCAGATTTACAGATGAAATAATATGTGAAATTATATGTGGAATTATTTGCTATATATAACTCAAGACCTTTTTCTCATTTACGCCACTCGCGCCTACATTGTAAAGGAATGTCCGATACGCAACCGAGCCTGGGAGATTACAAGATTACGAGATTGCGCCCCTCAACCTTGGAAGCCCAGACCTTGTGACAGGCGTCATACAGGTACTGTACTGAACAAAGCCCTCATTGCACAGGGACCATGCAGGTACCATGTGTCTTTCCACGGGGCAAACAGGATTTCAAACCTAACCTGCAGAGGGGTAGATTCGGATATTCACTGATATTCATGACTATGAGACTTATCGCGACTATCACTACCAAGCTCCACACAGGTCTGTGGCCATAGGGCAGTATCAAATTCGCCGATCCCACCGGTTCGTCGGGTATTGTGTTGTCTATGGGAAAGATCAACAGCCTGATATTCAGGGGGGGGTCAAAGTTTATCAACATGTATATCATCGCAGTATCCTATGTTTGTTTGCACATTGTAACCTGTGCATTTCTTACGGTGTAGAGGTAAGACATGTAAGATGAGAAAAATAAATAAAATAAAATAAAGAATGGATTGTGTCTCACCTGGCGGTTTGCGTGATTTGCTACGGCCCGGTGCCTGAATTTAGAGCGGGACTTGAGCGCCTTCGCCGCAACTATTGAGGTGCAAAATGTTTCTTTACCGGGTCCAAGGCTGAAATTCCACTAGACGATATGTACGTTCATATCCATGTTCAAGCCCTTTATTACGAAAATAGGTATTTTTAGACTTCATCTGAGGGGAAAAACAGCTAGATCACATGACCTTCAGCCTCATGGCCAGGATGAGACACATCTACAGCGGAGGCTCCGTACCAGAAAAAAAAAAAAAGTGAAAAATCATTTGAAAATATCCCACCCGTATAAGCACGATGCAATAGAAACACATCACACGGAGTCATCACGAGCCATTCAACTCGTCTATACGGTACGGAGTAGAAGCCGGGTATCCGGAGCGCATCCTCATGTGGCACCTCTAGGCGACGCCCGAAGGCCCCGTCATTGGCTGCAACGACTGGAAGGTTCGGACCAAAGCACTAAGACCCAAATTGGCTCTAAACAAGCCCAGAACAAGCCCCAACCAAGCCCTGTCAATACAACTAGGGAAACCGTCGTCCGTGGCGGCCCAACACTGCCGGGGGCCAAACAGACCCATGGGGCCAAACCAACAGGTCAGTCATATTCCTATGCAATGTACTCGTAAATTATGTACCTGTAAGCCTAGCTCTACTCCTCCCAGCTAACAGTCTTAGTCTGGAGGAATTCGTCGTATCCAGAAATTCCTCCGAAGCGACCAAAGCCGCTGCTCTTCCATCCTCCGTGAGGGAGGACAGTCTCGTCGTGTACCGTCATAGAATTGATGTGCACGGCACTAGAAAAAAAAGCATGATGTTAGCCTTCGATATCCCTTATGTGAACTGTATCCGGAACTCAAAAACCCACCCAGAGTCAATTTGTTTGGCCACCCGCAGCCCACGGAATAGGTTGTTGGTGTACAGAGCCGCAGTCAGGCCGTATTCGGTGTCATTGGCCAGTGCAATTGCTTCATCCTCGGTATCCACCACTATGAAAGACACGGTCGGGCCAAACGACTCGGTCGCGTACATGTCCATCTCCTTGGTGACGCCATCGACGACGATCGGCCGCATGCCTGTGTTGATGGACTCGCTCGCATCGGCATCGCCAAACAGCAGCTTAGCTCCGCGAGATACAGCGTCCACCACAAGCTTCTTGTTCTTGGTGACGGCCGCACTGTTGACCAAGAACAGCGCGGGCGCATCCTTGCCGAACAACTTCTCAGTTGTCTCAACAAACTTTTGCCGGAACTCCTCTGCGATCGAGCGCTGCACGATAATCCGCTCGGTCGACATGCAGATTTGACCGGACTACGTATCGTTTGTCAGTAAGTGATATCTCGGTCTCAATCGAATCAACACTACGTACGTGCATGAAGGATCCAATGGCGCAATTCATGGCAGCCTTGTCCAAGTCCGCATCCTCAAAAACAATCGCCGACGCCTTGCCGCCCAGCTCGAGCAGCACAGGCTTGATGTGTTTGCCGGCGGTAGAGGCAATAATCGAGCCCACCAGTGTACTGCCGGTAAAGTTGACCTTGCGCACAGCCTTGTGAGCGATCAGCGCATTGGTGACGGCCGGGGCGTCGGAGGGCTGGTGGAAGATAACGTTTAGACATCCGGCAGGAAGACCAGCCTGGCGGAAGATGTCGCCCAGAGCCCAGAAACACTTGGGTGAGAGCTCAGAGCCCTTGAGAACGACGGTGTTTCCCGCCGCAAGAGAGGAGCGCAACAGCGCGCGTACCCAGAATGAAAGGAGCATTCCTGCCAATTAGTTAAAAAAGAGTTCCGAGCCAACTGATAATTTGCAGTATATGCCACAGATCAGATCACGAAGCTTACCATGGCGCAATCGACAAAATCACTCCGTACGGCTCCTTGTATACGATGGCTCCTGCGCCTCCCTCCCCGCTGACATTCGGCACAACACCCTCGATCGAGGATATCCGGGCTGCGAAGTCCTTGATGAAGAGCACACCCATATTGAAGGTAAACTCTGAAAAAGGCCGGCCGGCACCGGTCTCCTCGCGCTGGTACTGGATCAATTCCTCCTTGCGTGAGGCCATAATGTCGGCAGCCTTCAACAGGATGTCGCGGCGGTCGTTTGCCTTGGTCTTGCTCCATCCGGGGAAGGCAGCCTGGGCAGCATCGACTGCGCGGTTGGCATCATCGACTGACACACCAGCGCAATAGCCACTTAGCTCGCCAGTGGCGGGGGCATGGACCTCGAATTTGATATCGGTCTCAATGGACTCATTATTGATCATAAGCGGGGTCACCGCCTTCGATTGTGCCATTGTGAATGTTTTGGCGAGTTGAAAATGATAATACGGATATCTCCTTAACACAGAGAAGGACCAGTCTATTTGGAGTGGCTGAGTTTATTTAATAGGAGCTCTTGTCCTCTGATCTTAACCAAATAGAGTGGCGGGGGGGGTGGTGGGGACACAAAGGGGGTGGGTGGTTGACTTTGATATGTAGCTCACTGTTTTATCGAAGTACTCTGCAGATCGGTTAGTTATATCCGAAGGGGCTATGCAATGCTTTAATTATCTCCGGTCTGGCTGCGGATATAAGATGTTAAAAGCCTTGTTCAACTGCCTTGAATAACAGCCGAGCTCGGAAGTTGTGGGGGAAGAAAAAAGATGACAAAGCCGGGAAGCATTCCGCCGAGATGAAGATAAATGTAGATGCCAAGAGGCCACAAGGTCAAGAGGTCAATTTCTTCAAGATCTTTTTGAATTATTCCAACACTGTCTATGCTAATGAAAGGTATCTTCAAAACCCCAGACTTCCAGAACCCAGTCCTATCACCATAATCCATAACCCCTAGCGCCAGAAAGATGCAAATTGTGACCCGCACAACAACACAGGAAGCCCCTCAATTGGCCCAAATCTTTGTCTCAGTCGAATTACTAGCTTTGCCCATTTCCGCGAAAGGACAAGCCGACACCTTGGATGAATTTGACGGCGCCGCACTATCGATAGAAGGCGCAACACCACTAGAAATACTGGACCGGTCATCCTCAGTTGAGCTACCGGAGCTGCTGCCAAGTATGCGCTTGTTGCCAAGGTATCCCTCCTGATCTTCAGCGTAGCTGGCGAAATCAGACATTTCGTCCACGAACTCCTCACCGTCGTTCGAGTGGTACCGGGCAAAGAGATCGTTCTGGATCCAGAGGATCTTGTTGACGGCGCGCACGAGCGCGATCTTGCGTCGCAGCGACAGGTGCGGGTGCGACATCATCGCTTCAATCCAGATGTCTTGGATGTATCCGATGCATGCGCCGAGGTGGATGTACTCGATGTTGAGTGGTGACAAACGGACTTGTCCGCTGTGCATCATGCTGTGTTACAAACCCCCTCGTTAGCGCATTGCACAAGCACGGAGAATTAACCCAGGAACAGGGATCTGGGAATGGAAAGGTGGGGTGTGAGCTTACCCAACCTTGTTCAGGTACCGCCAGAAGTCCATTGTGGTAGGGTCTTGGCATAGACGCGTCAGGTACCACCGCAGGAACATCTTGCGTCGCTTGATTTTTGGGGTCTCTTCGTGGAGATAGTCATCATCGAGCTCGGTCTCGTCGACTGTTGTCCGTGTGTGGAAGGCCCGAGATGTGATGTCGTATTGGAGGAGCTTTTTATATACGAGGTTGACCACTGCCGGAATCAACTGCTTGATGTATTTGTTGCCGGTCAACAGTGCTTCGATATCGCCTGGGGAAAGGTTAGTGGTTATGACTCATGGGGGGAGTGGTAAGAGCTTACTTGAGTTGAAGTCGAGGAAGTGATGGAGGTACTTGATTCGCTCTTCCAAACTTGTGTAGAGCAGCTTGCGGTCGACATGCATTGGCTCCGCAGCCGATGCCGTACTGTAGTCCATGCTTCTAGTGTTGGTACCTCTCGGTATAAAATCGCTCTTGAGAACAGGATTTTTTTCTTGGATGGGGTTGGAGAGGGGAAAAAAAGAGTATGGAAGGGAGACCGGGAACCAAATAGAGAGATGATTAAACTGGGGGCACCTCATGGCAAGTTGGCGGATCGAGTATTTATACCATGGATGCGTGATACCCGTTATTTCTCCGTTCACCGTTCATCTATATTGAAATGTAACTCGATTAGATTGGAAGCCACTAAACTGTAAAACACATCCTCTTCGGGACCCTTTCTAGGCAATCGTGGAACCTGGTCCATGACTCCTACCCAGAAAAGCGATCTTACCCGGATTAATGGGAGCACAGCAATATCAAGCCGAAGTTTTCCTTGAAGATTTCATTTCAATAAACATGTAAAGTGCCCTTGGACGAATCAGACCACGGCGTTAAGGTGATTACTAGAGAACTAAAGTGGAGTGACGACATGTCGTGTGGGCTGATCCTTGCAATAAGCTAAAAAAAAAAAAAAAAGAAAACGAAAACGAAAAAGAAAAGCCAAGGGGGGCAAGGGCCCATAGTTGCCATCCTGTCAGACTGGGCAACTTGAAACCAGCGAACTGGAGACGTGAAGAATACTGCAACTAACAGGTAATAAGCACGTGGGCTGTCAGACATCCCCTCATCGATGTCATCCGAGTATACGATCAGATGGCGTTTTTGAGATGCTGGGCATGGAACACTAAGATCACACATGTAAATCTGTGAACCATCTGTGAACCATTGCCCGTGCCAACAAAGCAAATTAAATTGAAATGGATCTTTCAGCATTTGCATCTCACTCTCATTCACTGGCTACGGACATTCGGAACTCCGCTACGGGCTCAACGTTTCTAAAGACCCGCGACGAAGTGGGTTCCGTTCGGGTCCGACTTGCGACCTGATGATGTATTCGGGTGCCTTAGGGTGTAGTGGTTATAATTAGGTAGATGCGCATTGTAGGTCTCAGTAGATCGAGCGAGACTTGAACCTTAGATCTACGTGGAATTAACAAACATGGACTTTTGAGCAGCTACGACAACACAATTGGTCCAGAAAGTCAACTATGCCCCTGGATAAGTTTATGCTTCTAGAAAGGCCAAACTAGTGGATGTGTGGGTCCGAAGGAGCACACAATTTACAGACCTACAATATGTACAATAGGGGCAATCGGAGCTAACGGGCGATGGCGTAGAAAATTTAAGAAACACATGCATGTTAAGCAAACGCTAGACTCGAAAATGGGGGACTATTTACGATGGACCATCTACCCGTAATTAAATCTATTAAATCTGTTAACCACATGGTCTGATGGCATGGCATGATGAGCAAGATCGGCAGGGCTAGGCTGGTGGGTATGGCATGATCAAGAAATCTCTGATTGAAAATACATATTAGATGAAAATATTTTCACTCATGTGAAAGGGGTGAAAATTGAGGCCAAATCCCACAGCTTTGATTGTCTTTATTACTCTGAAATTGTAGATCAGAGGGGGATTTCCCTTTTTTGTTCTTTTCTATTCAATCTGTGACGTTTCAAAAACAGACGCGGTAGACGATCACTGCCGCCTTAGTGACGACGTTTCGACCGTTTGGGCCTAGAACAGCAGTCTCGACCTATCTGGGAAGGTTGATCCACGAGACTGCCGCGTACCAGATTCCAATGGCTTGATTCCATGGTTCGGCATAAAACTCACCCTAATTTGTTTTTCTGGGGAGATTCCGAGGTTTGACAGCGGCTGTCAGAAATATGATTAACCAGTCAACATGAAACAAAGGTTGAAGAAAGTTCCAAATGTGTGTCGTGAATTGCTGATCTCGAGCTCTGTTTACGATTGATTATTTTGATCCCACTAGTTTCCATTTAAAGATAATGAGCCAAAATAAGATTATATACTCCATCCTCGTCACATTCATCCAGATAGCCTCGGGTGGCGCACCCTGTCCACTAAATATATTACGAGCTTTTCACTTCGCCTTGCTCCGTGCGGCAGCAGCATCATAGAGAGCCTTAATATCTGCCTGCCACTGCTTCACGTCGACTCTTGCCAAGCGACGGTCATACGTAATCAGGCCGTTGACCTCGCCCTCGACGTCGGTCGTCTGCGTCCAAACACCCCCACTGCATGCGTACATGCGGACCTGATCTTCGAGCTCGTTCAGGAGAAGGTGGCTGCGATAATTCCATGCCTCAATGGTTTCGTCGATTTCGTATGTCTGGTCGATGGTATTGATGGCTGCCTGGTTGTTCCAGAGATGCTCAATGGATACATTAGTCCCGATGCCGCCAAATTCACCCTGGAACCCAATCCGGCTGGGATCATATGGGCTCGAGCGTAGGGAATAGAAAGGAGTGCCACATTGTGGGTTTGCGTAGTGGTGGTTGTCCTATTATATGTTGATTAGCCACGCGGTTGAGCCACGGGGGAGAAATTCATACACTAAAGTCTCCGGCGCCGTGGTCGTCCCAACCAGTCGTCGAGTCCACAAGCCGAGTGGGGTCCAGCTGTCTAACCCTCTCGGTCAACTCAAACTCGGGGTAATAGTCTGTGATCTGGCCCCAGGCTTCGTTGTAAATGACCTATAGGTAGTGGGAAACGTTAGTATATTTCTGACTTTTCACCGAAAACCCTAACTTACCCAAGTTGCAATACTGGGGAAGCTCTTGAGCTGGTTAATCAGCAAATCTAACTGGCGAGCGAACTCGACCTGTTGCTTCTCGTCCGGTAGGATAGTATGGGAGTTGCCGTCGGGTCCCTTCTTGGACTGCGACGGACGTAGGGAAGGCATGTCCTGAATTACAAGCAGACCGAGCTCGTCGCATGCTTGGTAGAACAAATCGGTCTCGACTTTGATCTGCATTCCACAGTGTGAGCAATAGAGGCCATGGGATATGTGGCGGCGCGACAGCACTCACATGCTTGCGGACCATGTTGAATCCCAACTTCTTTAGCATCTTTAAATCGTACACCATCGCCTCCTTACTGGGTGGCGTGTATAGACCATCGGGCCAATAGCCTTGATCCAAGGTTCCGAACATGAAAATAAATTCTCCATTGAGCAAGGGTCGCTCAATCCCATCAATCTTAGCCCTGGAGACTGTACGGAAGCCAATATAGCTCTCTACCTTATCTTTGCCGAGTTTGACAGTCACGTCATACAGGTCAGGTGAGTCTGGGGACCAGAGCTTGGGCGATGATACGGTAAATTGGAATGGCTTGTGGGTGGGACCCTTGTGTCTTGCAACAGTCTTGCCATCTTTGTGGACAGTGACCTCGGCCTGAGCGGGGTTATCCGTGGCGGAGCTGTGTACAGTGATATTTACTATATGCAGTCAGAATCAATCGGATTTTCCCACAAATTATCATTGAACACTTACCTTGGCCATCCATGTTTGCGTCAAGATCGAGCTGGGTAATGTAGTTGGCTGGGGCAGCCTCGAGCCAAACCGTTTGCCATATACCACTGCATGGGGTATAAAAGATGTGACTGGGTCTCAAGGTTTGCTTTCCAATGGGGATAACATAGTCTCCATCGTCAGTGGGATCATGTACGAAAACAAGTCTGTATTTGAAGTCAGATATGGAAGTCGACTGTGTTGTGATCACGGGATACTTACAGCTCGTTCTGCTGATCAAACTTCAGGTACTTCGTCACATCTACGGCGAAACGGAAGTATCCGCCACGGTGAAAGCCTGCCTCTTGACCATTGACAAAGACTGTAGCTTCATAGTCTACAGCTCCAAAATTGAGCAGTACCTGCTCACCCTTCCAAGAAGAAGATACTTTAAAGGATGTTGAAAACCAAGAGTACAAAGCCGAGTCGGTTTGGATTCCTGTGAATATTTGTTAATTTTGATGATAACGTGGTAAGGAAGGCAAGACCTACCGGACAATCCACTCTCAAGACACGACGGAATCAAAACATCTTGTGCAAGTTCCTGCCCAAAAGGTGGCTGCTGGACAGCATCCAGGCCTGGAGCGCTTTGGTACTTCCACACTCCGTTGAGATTCTTCCAATCAGAGCGCTGCAGCAACGGCCGCGGATATTCGGGCCATGGCTTCGTTCCGACTTTATCGGTCCATGGCGTTGTCAAGGGAGGCTCCTTAAGAGAGTAACCCGCACTGCGCGCCTTATTTTCTTGGTGTTTGAAGCCTTCATTGCTAGGCAGAGCTAGACCAGTCGCCACCAGGCACGACAAGACAAAACTCTGAGCTAAACGCATGTTGATCGGAGGCACTTAAATCTTCTAACGGAGATATATGCACACCACAGCGACAGTACTAAAGATCTTCGGAATAAAATATCACGCTCTGAGCATGATTGGGCAAGTGCCTGGATTTAAATACATCGGACACTGCGTACGTGGGACTAACAGACTCATGGCACGGTGCTTCCCTGCATACAGCATGCCCACTTGGCAGAGACGCCCCCACAAGGGCCAACCCCGCAGGAAGTACACAGGATGCCCAGCATTTCAGATTCATTAAGGATTGCAAGCATGTCGGCCGCTGGCTGGTGTCTGATCACAGGGAGCATTAGCCACTGCTTGGCGTTATTGACAGCGCAGAAGCCAAGTGCAGCAGCCAAGAGCCGGGCAGCAATGATGTCGATGTGCACATAGTAAACCCGTCACAAACGGTGAGCTACCTGCTACTGCCACTCAAGTTGGGAATTCTCCAGACAAATCAAAATTAACCGAACACTAATGAGACACAACAATACCAGTCCTCGACAGATTTCACCCGCAAACTCTATATCCGGTTCTAGGGAGCGACAAATCACGGCAGTGGTGGGTATTCCGTGGAGCATTTCTCGCCAGCAAAATACTGCTCCTAACTTGGTTGGGCTTTTGCTCACACGACGGAATGTTCGGTCTGTTCCGATTGCTCTGCCCAATATTGCAATAACTCAACGCCGATCACAAACACACGGACGACAGCCGATCTACCTTACCACAGACATGCATTT